GAAAAATATTTTTGCATTATATCCCACAAAAGATTCTGAATACCCATTAATTTTGGTATGTTGTATTATCATTTTCAATTAACTCAAGCTAGTTTCTAATTTTTGTTGTCTTTTTTGATCCAACAGTCATATAAGGATATAATTTCCACATTTGCGATTTTTTTTCTCCATTTTCTTTTTGTTACTGACTTCTTGCCTCCTTTGATTGTGGTCAGAAAAGATAACTGGAATATTTTCAGTCTTCTCAAATTTGTAATGATTTATAACTTAGCATATGATCTCTCCTAAAGAATGTTATATGTGCACTGGGTAGGAATGTTTACTCTACTACTATTGGATGAAATGTTCTGTATATATATCTGTTAGGTCCTTTTGGTCATAGTGTTGATCACACTTATTCTCTCCCTATGGACTTTGTTTACATCATTTGTTCATTATTGTAAAAGGGTATTAAAGTCCCCACTCTATTATATTGTTGTCAGTTTCTTCCCTTAGATCTGTCAGTATTTGCTTTATATACTTAGATATTTTATATATTTATATTGGGTGCATATATATTTTCAATTGCTGTATCTTTCTAGTGAATTGTCCTTTTATCACTATATAATGATCTTCTTCATCTCTTATGACAGTTTGTGACTTAAAGTGTATTTCATCCAATGTGAATACAAATACTCCCTTTCTCTTGTGGTTATTTTTTTTGTACTGAATACCTTTTTCATCTCTTTGCTTTCAGTCTGTGCATGTAGGGGTATGTGTGTGTGTGTGTGTGTGTCTCCTTAAATCTAAAGTGGGTCTCTTGGGCCTCCCCGGTGGCATAGCGGTTGAGCACTGGGTTGTGAAGCTGCCCGCAGCCTCTGCAGTGCCGGTTCGATCCCCGGCTGCTCCCCGGTCACCAGAGGAGGGTCCCACATGGCGTGCAGACCTCTCCTGCTGCCCTCTGCTCCCCTCAGTAGTGTACTTCGGTCCTTCTGCCTGCTCTGCTCCCGGCTCTGGCTCTGGTGAATTCTCACACCCTCCCGCGCTTCTGACTGTATCCAGTGCTTTTATAAATGGATAGATAGATAGATAGATAGATAGATAGATAGATAGATAGATAGATAGATAGATAGATGAATAAATCTTAAAAAAATAAATAAATGAATTGGGTCTCTTGTGGACAGCATTACCTCTGAGAAGCTTTCTCTGACTCTGAAGGTAGATTGGGTATGTCTTTTTCTAAATCCTCAGACAATCATGCAAATTTACATGATGGTAATTATGATATTGCAGTGCAATTACCTGTTTTTTTAGTAGCCATAATCTACTGAAAGTAGGGACAATATTTTATTCCATTTCCAAAAGACAGACAACAATTTCTGATACATAAAAAAATGGCCAGGGCCTCCCCTGGTGGCACAGAGGTTGAGCGCTGGGCTGCGAAGCTCTGCAGCGACGGTTTGATCCCCCGCCGCTGGCGAGTGTCCCACACGGTGCGACAGACCTCTCCTGCCTCGCCCGCTGCTCCCCTCAGCAGTGTATTTCGTCGGTCTGCCTGTTCTGTTCCCCTCTCTGGCTCTGGTGAATTCTCTCACCCTCCCACGCTTCTGACTCTACCCAGTGCTTGTATAAATAAATAAATAAATCTTAAAAAAAAAAAAATGGCCAAAGAACATATCTTGTATTATCTCTACTGGGAGAGGAGACCAGGAAAAAGCAGAAAATCCTAAGTATGATGACGTCATCTCTTCTCTGACAAGTGCTGGACCACTTCAACAGAGTGCTGATCCTACTGTCCTACAAGTAAAGGTACACTTGAAAGAGCTAACATAGTTCTTCACTGTATAACAAAATTTATATAACTAAAAGTAGATTTCTACTGGAGTACAGATAAGGGAAAAAGAATCTACACAGGAGAGAGGAGTTTCCAAAAAACATAATGTGCTATATAAAAAGCATAGAAATTATCAACATTCATTTCCCAGTTATTTTATTTAACAAATCCAGTATATAAGAATATAAAGCACTTCACTGTTGAGGGGTGAAAGATAAAGAGACAAAAATATGTGAATAATACTTTATCACTTTTTAATTAACATGTGCATTTTATTCTGAAATGTTGATGCAATAAAACAAAACACTGACCTATTGAACATTATGTATTTGTTGTTTTTCCCCTTTCATGCAATCTTGGAATACATTTAACTTAAAATGAATAAGAAACTCTCAAACTCTAATACTTCTTTTGAAAAACACAGTCATATAAAGGTCAATCAATATTAACTTCAAAAATTCACTAAAGATTAATAATAATTGGCACAGATCCAATATTTTAACATTAATTAAGATTAGGTAGATTGACAGATCTTATTTAAAACCAGGCCCTTTAAGTTCAAGTAAGCATTTCTATTTCTATTCCAGTAACCCTGCAATTTTGTGCATATTTAACACAATAGCAACAATGACAATGTTATTACTTAGTACTGAATAAACTCTTTTTTTTAAAGATTTATTTATTTATTTATGCAAGCACTGGGGACAGTCAGAAGCGCAGGAGGGTGAGAGAATTCACCAGAGCCAGAGTGGGGAGCAGAGCAGGCAGAAGGACCGAAGTACACTGCTGAGGGGAGCAACGGGCAGCAGGAGAGGTCTACGCGCTATGTGGGACCCTCCTCCGGAGGCCGGGGAGCAGCCGGGGATTGAACCAGCGCTGCAGAGGCAGCTGGCAGCTTCGCAACCCAGCGCTCAACCGCTGCGCCACCGGGGAGGCCCTGAATAAACTCTTAATGAGTATCAAGTGCTGCTAGTTCTGTCACAGGTATTTTGGTTAAATTTTCACAACATTCTAGTGCTTAACTACTATGTCCACGTTCTATAAATGAAGAAAACTGAATCTTAGAAACATTAAAAGTATTTGCTCAACTTTATTTACTTTCTTGCACACAAGAAAGTAGTGGAACTAGACTTCAACCTACACCAGACTGATCCTAAGTAATTGCTAGATCTATTTCCCTCAAAGATTGAGAATCAGATCTTGTACTTTAATGAGTATTTAGCACACAACAAGAGTGTGAAACACAGTAAGTGTTCAATAAATAACTACTGAACTGAAAGTTGAAATTTTTAGAAGTGGATTTCATGTTTGAAAAAACAGATTCTTTCTATGTAATGAGAATGAGACAAAACTACAATTCTACCTTAATTTTATTTTGTTTAACTGATTTTGACCTGACAAGAATTAAACTAGTATTTCAAATTTAAAATGTGGTGTTATACCCAGTTCCATTTCTTCGTAAACTTCTGCATATTCTTTAACTTCAGATATTACATATTTGTTTTGGAGGTTGTTTGTGTCAAAGCATGGTGAAATCGTAGAAGTCCAAAATAAATGAAACAAACAGCTAGTATGTGTCACTTCTCCCTTGCAAGGCAAGGACTTATATTTTTCTCAGAGACTCATAAGCTCTCTGAATCCATGACGACATACTGTTTCCTGAACTTTTTCATAACTTCAATCAATTCAAGGATATATGGTCTCTGAAAGTAACCAACAATCTAATCTAGTTTTCTACACCCCATGTTGGCAAGAAAACTGGAAAGTATTCTATTTGCTTTTCTGCCAGGTGTCTTAGTAAGCCACAGTCAGATATGTACATCCTAGTACTAGAATATCAAATTTTGAGTGCTCGTAACTTTACCTGAAAGTAGTTATTCATTTGGAAATACTACCTATAAAGTAAGAAGCATTTTGGGTAGAACTCTATAGGGGTAGAAAGAGAAACAGAAATGAACTACTGAGAATCCATCTGTCCACTTCCATAAAATAGTCAGAGTGAACTATTATCCTCACATTATAAGTTTGAAGGGATACAGAAGTAAAATGAATAGCACAGGATAACTAAGAAATAGATCTAAGGCTTAATTCTGAGGCTTGTGCATCATTAGGCTAATGATCTTTGCTCCTTATAGTTATTCAGTCTTGAACTAGTTTTATGAATTCTACGGACCTCAGGTTCTTCAGCTGTTAGGGAAAAATTAAATATTGAGCAATCAGTAATAAACCAAATTAGGAAGAATCATATTATATATTTCTTAAAACTGTTTTTATCATTTCTTCCAACATGCTTCATTCTATTAAAAATGAGACATGATATTCATCCTAAGACCAAAAGTATTTTGGAATATTTTATTTGGAACTGAAAAACTTGTCATGATATTAACACTTGATAACTTTTCAAATGTTTAGTCTTGGTACTAAAGGAAGTCATCCTATCAAGGATATTCAGCTGGGTTTTGAAAATAAATCATATTAAGGCTGTTTGTTTTCTATTGTTTAAACATGACAAATTGCCATTTGATTAGCTACTTGTTATATTAATTATCAAGTGCAATAGTAATATACACATTTACTTAGAAATCATATTGCTAAATTTCAGGTCCTCCAAACTATTCTCTTCGTTCAAAGTTGACTCAGAACTCAGTTAGACTCACTGAATGAAGACTGTTCAACAACATTCAAAAAGAATCTTTTCACTATGATTTTTACATGAAAATATTTCAATGCTATGGGGAAAAAAAAAACCTGGTATGCCCAAAACTCTCAAAGTTCAGCATTTGGTTACCATTAAGGTACCACAGGACTATGCAATCAAATGGGACAATTGTGCGTTAGACAGCAAAAAGACAATATTTTATCTCAGTCTTCTTTAGAAAGTCTTAATCTAAGATTTGTTTATAGGATTTTTGGGTCTATGAAGCACTGAATTTATGTTTACAATTTTTGATATGTGCATTTATCTATAAAATGACTCAAATTTCAATGATTTTTCAAATGGACCTATAATCTCAAAACGTTTGTAAATACTGCACCAACTTTTAGGCAAGAGGCTTCCCATCTTTCAAACCTAGCTTCTCATGCTCATGAATTTGGATCAAATTACTTGAAAGGTAGATTCTTCAGTTTAATTTTCTATTGCTCTCAGACCAAAACTGGTGATACTAAATTGTATACAGATCTCTCTTCATTGCACTGGATAGCCTGGAGTAGTTTTCCCAAAATTTAAATACCAGCTACTCAGTTTCTTCTTCACAGCTGTCTTCACTTCCTGGTTTCTCAAAGTATAGATCAGTGGGTTTAGAAAGGGGGTGAAGATTGTATAGAAAACAGACAGAACTTTGTCCACCATGAAGTCTGTGAAAGGCCACACATAGATGAAGATGCAGGGCCCAAAGAACATTATCACAACTATGAAATGTGCAGTACAAGTAGAAAAAGCCTTAGATGATCCCGAGGAGGAGTGGCCCTTGATAGTGACAAGAACAATGATGTAGGAGGTGAGCAAAAGCAGAAAACATATCAGAGCAATCACACCACTGGTTGAGATCATAAAGATCCCAAGAACGTATATATCTATACAAGCCAGCTGGATGACCAAAGGCAAGTCACAGAAGAAACTGTCCACAACATTGGGACCACAGAACGGCAAATAGAGGGTAAAAGCTAATTGACTCATTGTGTGCAGTAAGCCCACTGTCCAAGAAGTTATCACCAGCCCAACACATACTTTCTGGCTCATAATTGCAGAATAGTGGAGAGGTTTGCATATGGCAATATACCTGTCAAAAGACATGGAGATCAGCAGTACAATCTCAGTCCCAGTGAAGAGGTGCAAAAAGAAGATCTGAGAAATGCAGCCCTCAAAGGAGATGGTCTTGCGTTGAACAAAGAAGTCCAGGATCATTTTTGGAGTGGCAAAGGAGGACAGGCACATGTCAATGAGTGACAGATTACTGAGAAGGAAATACATGGGGGAGTGAAGGTGAGAGGTAGACAGGACTGTGAGCAAAATCAGACAGTTGCCCAACATCGTTATTAAATAGAAAATGGAAAATATCACAAAGAAGAAAATTTGCAGCTCAGAAGACTCAGTAAGTCCAAGTAATACAAATTCAGACACTCTGGAATAGTTGAACTTCTCCATCGATCTGAAGGCTCTGCTCTATAATGAGAAAATGGAACAAAATGACAAAACGTGAAAACGTGATACTTCTATAATTACACATGAAGGAGTTATGTCAGTAATTCACCAGAATATGGATTATCTAAAATCTAACTAATGACTATCTCACTAAAGATTTTACTTTTTGGAACCACTTAATGGTTACTAGATATCAATTCAAATGGACAACTTCTTGGTTTTGGCCACCATTAGAAATATTGGCTCATACTCATCACATACATAACAGTATTCCTTTTCTGAATAATATATCATCATCATCATCATCATCATCATCATAATCTGTATTTATAGAGGAAGATCATACCAAGTTAGGGTGCTCTACTTGATAAGTTAGGTAAATAAAAATGTAAATGAGGGTTGAAATCTAAGCCCCCCAAAATGCAATTATGTTAAACCAACTATCATTGAACACTGGATTTTACTATTTTTTTTAAAGATTTATTTATTTACTTATTTATACAAGCACTGGGTACAGTCAGAAGCGAGGGAGGGTGAGAGAATTCACCAGAGCCAGAGCAGGGAGCAGAGCAGGCAGAAGGACCGAAGCACACTGCTGAGGGGAGCAGCGGGCAGCAGGAGAGCTTGCGCGCCATGTGGGACCCTCCTCCAGTGGCCGGGGAGCAGCCGGGGATCGAACCTGTGCTGCAGAGGCTGCGTGCAGCTTCACAACCCAGCGCTCAACCGCTGCGCCACCGGGGAGGCCCTAGATTTTACTATTTTAAATAATTATTTCAGAAGACCATTTAGTATCCTATGGGGATATAAATAATTTTTCATTTACATGACCTCTTGTTTACTGAGCTACAGAAAAAAATCTAGGTTAATTTTCATTTGCCTCATACATTTTAAATTACTTTGCCAGTATTGGTAAGTAGTATTGTTTTATTAATTAATTAGTTAATTGATTAATTTTCTTTCATCTTTGTTAATTTTTGGACAGTATTTGATTTCTCCCCTCAGTTAGAGTTCCTGTAGTTCTCCCACCACCACTACACCCACGATCCACCTCCCCCTTCCCTTGTGCTCTTCCCTCCCTGTTTTAACCCCTCTCCTTATCCCTCCCCACTGTATGCCTCAGGTCTGTGGTCAACTGCAAGTTGTGCCTTTTTTCCTGACATTTTGTTTGGCTTCTCTCTAGTCCACATATAAATGAAACTATCCTATATAAATCAGAAGGAAAATGATAAGTATTATTTTTAAGCATGTAGATGATAAATTAATTTCATAAAATTATTGATGACCAAAGAGTATGCTTGTAACATCTGAATGTTACTCTATTTTTTTATTTCGTCATCTCTAGAAGAATTTTTTAAAAGAGAGAGACTATGCCTCCTTTATTTTTTCCCCTGCAATTCAAAGCTATTTTTTAGACTAGGGAAATAAAAAGATTATAGTACTGGGCCAGAACCTAAACAGGATGGGCATCTAGTAGTACCAGAATATAAAATGCTTAAAACAAAAGAATGCAAACAAACAAACAAACAAAAAACTCACAATGATTGTAATAAGAAAAAATGACACTGGGATCAACTGAAAGGAGAACAAAGATACAATAAGGAGTCAGACTCAGTTTTGAAAACTGTTTCAATTTGCAGAATGTGTGAGTACTACAAATATCTCCTATGGCTTATTTTCATTTAAGTGACCTACTACCTTTCAACAGGGAGAAAAATATGACTCCATCCTCATTTACTTGCAAGTATTCAAACTGATATGTCAATATTCATAAATACTTTAACATTTTTCAGAAACCACTATTCCAGAAATTTTAAAACTGAATTGTGGTCAAGTGGTTAAGGGATTAAATAGTTCTTGATCTGCTGTCACCTTAATCACATCTCAATAGCCTAAGAATTGGTCTCTACCTGTGAAAATTAGCTGGTCTATAAAAACCACTAAACATATTTCCTGGGCAATACTAAAAAATTTCTAGGTTCAAAAATCCAAATTTAAGAAACATCTTACTTTATTTCATTAATAACAAAAATTACAGTAAAAATATTTGACCCAGTTTCCTTTTCAGTTGAAGTATGTGTACAAAGTATATGTTTCCGTTATGCATCATTAAAAATCAACATTAAATTCATCAGTGAAATCCCAAACCTATATTTCACTATACAATTGACCCCTTTTGCCTGATTTACCCACCCCCTCCTTCACTTCTGCAGCTAATTGGTCTTATAGTCTAAAGGTATTTTTGTTTTTTTTTTTTTTTTTCATTTTTATTTAGGTCATCTACTTGTTTGGTTTTTCTGTATAACACACGTGAGTGAAAACATACAGTGTTTGTATTTCTCCATCTGACATTTTACTAAGAATAAATCAGAGGTTATAAAGAAAGATATGTGCTTCCAAATTTTTTTCATCTTTTTAAGTTAAATTACTTCTTTTCATATAAAAATTATATCAGTACCTTGATATATTATGAGCATTAAAAAAATCTCAGCCTCTCGTATTTGAAAATTTCTTCTACTTTCCTGACTTAGGAATATGATTATTAATGAGAATAAAAAATATATTATGCATAATTTTAATACATATACACAAATATATTATGTATTTATTAGCAATTCATATAGTCATCAAGGCTTATTTCTCCTCTTAGCTCCAAATATGACATCTCTAATACCTACTTAATGGAATAATCAATCTTTCTGTCTTCAAGTTATATGTATTACTTCTTTACTACTGCTCCATTATTTTTGCTTTATACTACAATTATTAAATTATTTTTTGTTATCTAAAGAACAAAACTAAAAGTTTCTAAAGATCCTTAATACATTTCCAATTTTTAACCTACCAGCTATGCAGCAGGAATCAAAAACACCATATCCTTCGATTCACAAGCCTACTGTAATCAGCAGAGTTCTTAGTAAGCATCAGAAGTCTGGAGTTTGGATATATATTTCCTCTCATATTAGCATAAAAGTCACTAGATGGCAGAGACATTTAGGAGATCAGGGACTAGATAAGACAAGCTACTTGCAGTGGGAGTTATTAATGTCGAGCTGACATTCTCAAAGTTGCAACAAGAACTGTAGAGTGTGTCTTTGCTATTTAGAATGAGGGTGCACATTTCTGATGAAGTATGTTCATTAGAGAGAGTCCCAGCTGGGACTGACCTAGAAAAAGAAGAACTTTGAACTGTCTTTTAAGGATCATTGAAGGGGCAAAAAATTTGATCCTTTGAATATGTAAATATTCCCACCTTTATACCCAATTTTTGGTGTCCCATAGTAAGATACTCTTCTAGGCTGACACTTCTGTCAACAGCAAACTCACTTACTGGAAGAATCATGCAGATAAAGTTTCTGACAGGACATTAGAAACTAGTACAGGTTAGGTATGATAATAGCTACCACCAAGAGTAGGTGAAATCTGGGCCAGGGGAACTTGGAAAGCCTAGACTACCTGGAAGAAATAAGGACAGATACTTTTAAATATACCAAATACATCTGCAGAGGTGTGAACCTATATTTCTAAATTATATACAGTGCTGCAAATCAATATTATCTCAATAAAAACTAAGATAAAATAAAATAATGTAGATGTAAAGGTAAAAATATAAATAAATAGATAAGGAATTTTAAAGTTTTTAAAATAAATCATACAAATAAATGTAAAATATTCAGCACAATGCCTGGCACAGAGAGTGCTAGATAAAATATAGTAGAAGGAATAGCATAGGTGATAATAATTAACAAATTTTGAAATATCTATGACTTAAAATCTAGGAAGATACTACATATGGAGTCTCAACCTAAAACCATAACTGAGAATCTTTCTGTATTTATTTGCATGTCAATCATTTATCTATGCTTGCTCTCCAAAAACAACTTTCTTCTCCCAAACCTCAGTGATCTGAATTCTACACAACTACCTTATCTATTCTACATTCCCCATAGGACTGGTAGTTCAGTCCAAGAAAATTTTCCCTAGCTGACCACCTACTCTGCAGTCTTTGAAATAATAAAAAAAAAAAAAGCAACTTTGTTTTTTAAATTTTTAAAAAATTTAATTTTTTTTACTATTTTATTTTATATAATTCTTACTTCATTTTTCATCTTTGTACAATGTATGCATTTTCATTTTGGTTATATCCCCTATACATTTGCACCCCCGCCTTATTTTGACTCTAGTTGTAAAGAGAATGGAAATGCCTTTAAAAAAAAAAAAAAAAGACAACACAGCAGTTGTAAAGATATAAGAAATCAAAAATATTTCCCTGATTTAAACAAAAGAATATATAATTAATGTTATATAATTAACATTAGAGTTATCCTGGAAAAGATTAGAGAATTAGAAAAATAATAGAAATAAAAGATAATTCAGGAAAAGCAGCATGAAAAATTTTTGAACCTTATAGGAGTACTCTGTATCCTGGATGTGTTGATGGTTACACATATCTGTACATGTGTTAAAATTCACAGAACTGTATACCAAAAGAAACCAAAATCAATTTTATCTGACGATAATTTAGAAACATAGAATTTTAGAAAACAAAACCAGATAATTCAGTACAGTGGTTAGTTACAAAATAAGCAAATCAAAACCCATGGTTCTCTTATAAATCAATGATTACCTATTGAAATATGTATTTAAAAAAAGAGAGATTAGGTAGATGAATGATAGGAATTGCAGATGGATAAGAATATTCATTCCCAGGGGGCCTCCCTGGTGGCGTAAGGGGTTAAGACGCAACCTACAAAGCTATCTGCAGCCACTGCAGCACGAGTTCGATCCCTGGCCAGGGAGGTGACCCACATGGCGTAGCAGACCTCTCCTGTCTCTCCCGCTGCTCCTCTCAGCAGTGTATTTCAGTCAATCTGCCTGTTCTGTTCACCACTCTGTCTCTTGTGAATCCTCTCACCCCCCACGCCTCTGGCCTGTACCCCTGTTCTTGTATGTATAAATAAATAAATCTTTTAAAAAAAAAGAAAAAAAGAATAATCATTCCCAGA